AGTGGATGGAGTCAAATAAACAAAACTTATTAAATAAAATAATCTGAATACAGAAAGACAAGCATTGCATGTTTTCTCTAATATGTACATTTAAAAGGACATGAAAATAAAAGGGAGATTATTATGAGAAAAAAGAAATATAAGGGAGGGGACATAAGTAAGGGTCAATTAAGGAGATACATGTGATTAAAAATATATATGCCTGCATAAAGTCCCACACTGAAACTCAATATTTTGTCAAATTAATAGGAACTAATACAAACTTTTTAATTTTAAAAATAAAAATAAATATATCAGTGAACTTAATGAACAAAGTGAAAATTAAGAAACAATTTCTAGTTTAGTGCATGGTGATACACATGTTTAATTCTAGCCTTTGGCATGTGGAAAGTCGGTTTTTCCAGCACCATTTAGTAAAGTGGCTGTCTTCCTTCCAGTGAGTGTGAGAGGTACAAGACGCTGTGAAGGGAAAGAAACTGCTCAGAAGGAAGAAACAACTGGGATGAGGAAAAGAAGAAAAGCAAGAAGGAAGGAAAGGACAAAGAAATACACATATATATAGATAGGATAGTTTGGATGGTGATTTCTGCTGGTCTATTGAAAGAAGAATGGTTAAATTTTTGTCTCATTTTTAAATTTTTATAATGTTTGACCAATTTTTGATGCTTATATCTAGTAATAGAATTTGAATACAACAATATGCAGTATGATAACAATTGTTGAATTCCTATTATTTTGTTTAGTGAAGTTCTGTATCATTTGTGATTTATTTTATTATATTTTGTATTCTCTTTAAAGAATAAGAAAGGTAAATGAAGAAACAATTTATATTGGCATGAATAATAAAATAGTCATAAAACCAACCAAGGAAAAACTATACTATATATTAAAAATTATATAAAACTTTGCTGAAAGAAGTAAAAGAAGGCAGGCCCTGCACATGAAGTGAGAAGACCCGGGGCCGCGGATCCTGAATAGACTCAGAGTGCAGGCCTGGCACGTGAGGGAGAGTACCTGGGGCCCGCGGGATCCTGAATACATTCAGAGCACAAGCTCAACATGAGTGAGACGACTTGGCACCCACCGGATCCTCAATAGACCCAGAGCCCAGGCCCAGTATGTGATTGAGACCACCCGGGCCTGCGGATCCTGAACAGACCCAGAGCACAGCCCTGGTGTGTGAATGAGACCGCCTGGGGCCCACTGGATCCTTATTCGACCCAGAGCGCAGGCCCAGCGTGGAACCCTTCAGCAGAACTCCCTGCAAAGAGGCTAGAGGCAAGACCCACACAGCTGATTCAGGAGCAGAACATCTTGCCAGAGAGAGAAAAAGGGCTCAAATCTAACGGCTGCTGCAGAAAGAAGTGGAGCACAGCAGCCAGATCCAAACAACACCCACCTGGAGGAATCCGAACTTCATAGATCCGGACCTGGTGCTAAGGTAATAACTCTGTCTAAGCTCTGCACCAAAGGTCAGAAGACAGTGGTATACAAAATGACAAAGAGAAGGAACAAAATGTAGTCTCAGGCCCCAAGTCCACCCAGTACAACTGCAGAAGACACTAGCACTGAGGAGACGGGAAATCACACACCAGATATCTCTGAAATAATAGCGTTGACAGTAAAGAATCAAGTGCAGAAAAGTATAGAAGAAATCAGATCAGAAATAATTTC